ATCTTTCAATTATTCATTGATATATCAATTTTGATTGATTAATAAACTGATGAAATCTTCATCTATACTCAGTTTTATAAGCATTTTCATTCTTTATAATAAGTAGAGAGTGAGATCAGAAGTATTGAAATATATAGAAGTATCTAAGCATTCTTTCAGTGCTTTTATATTTAATTCTATAGATGTTGAAATTGCATGAGTTTCTTATTATAATAATTATTGAATCTCTTCATATTAGTGTTATTGAGTTGCATGCATATCTGCTATCTATTACTGTTATAATTTCAACATTGCTCAGAGCCACTATGACACTGTGTCTATACTCATGTTCAAGAGTTTCATATTCTCATTAGACATGATTATATTGATTATCAGATGTATAATTATATTCTCATACATCTGAGTGTCAGAACTCTCAGATCTTTCACTGATATTCTCTTATAAGATCTTACTCTCTTCATAAGATCTTGTTATAAGACTAGAGTAACTGATAAGTAAGCTTCTATTTAAGAACTATCTGAGAACTCAGTGTCTGCTTAACTGTGTAACTGTTTCTCTTTCTTACATGTTATTACACATTCAGATATCTCTTGATAAATAATCATTTCTAATGAGAAGATAATGCTGAATAATTGTTTTCTAATAAGAAGACAATGAGCGTTTTTATAGTATAAGAGATCTACACTGAATAGATCAGTATAATATTGATAGATCTTATATAACAAAGATAAAAACACTCATTATCAAAGTAAGAGAAAACAATTATTCAGCATCATCTTCTCATTAGAAATGATTATTTATCAAGAGATATCTGAATGTGTAATAACATATAAGAAAGAGAAACAGTCACACAGTTAAGTGAACACTGAGTTCTCAGATAGTTCTCAGATAGAAGCTTACTCATCAGTTACTCTGATCTTATAATAAGATCTTATAAAGAGAGTAAGATCTTATAAGAGAATATCAGTAAAAGATCTGAGAGTTCTGACACTTAGATATATAAGAATATGATTATACATTCAACAATTAATATAATCATATCTAATGAGAATATGAAACTCTTAAATATAAGTATAGATGCAGTGTCACAGTGACTCTGAGCAATGTTAGAATTACAACAGTAATAGATAGAAGATATGTATACAACTCAACAATATTAATATAAAGAGATTCAATGATTATTATAACAAGAAACTTATACAATCTTAACATCTACAGAATTGAATACAAAAGCACTGAAAGAATGCTTAGATACTTCTGTATATTTTAATACTTCTGATCTCACTCTCTACTCATCATGAAGAATGAAAATACTTATAAAACTGAGTATAGATGAAGATTTCATCAGTTCATTAACTAATCAAGATTGATATATTAATGAATAATTGAAAGATTGTGTGAAATAGAAGTTTTATTCATGAATAAAAGCATGCAAATCAGTGTTATAAATATCTGATAATATTATGAAATATCTTGATATTCTGTTTCAAGACAATGTCTATGTATAAGCAAGAGTTTTCACTGTTTAAACAGGCTTCTGAGTCTCTGAAATCACTTCTGAAGAAGTCACTGATTAACATTAATATAAAGTATACATTAATTGTAACTAATCAGAATATATTACTTTTAACTGCTGATCAATCTATGTATCTTCATACTTAAAAGAAAGATTAAAGAATGAATCAGTATCTATTCACATCAGTCATATTATATTAGAGAAAGATTCAGAAGATAACTATAAGAATACTCAGATAAAACAGAGAAAAGATTAACTTCTATTTAAATTTATAAACAGAAGCTTGAAGAGATTGAATAATAATAATTTAAAGAGAAGTTACTATATAATGATAAAATCTTCAGTTATAAGATATTATAATCTTCAGTATATTCTCTTATTAAAAACTATACACTAAATCACTGTACTATTATTAATCTAATCTCTTCTTAACTGATCTGAACTCTGAGTTCTGTATTATCTGAAACAGCAGCTTTTAATCAATGAGAACTGCTTCTAAAAAGAAGAGACTAATATGATAAGCTGCATCTGATTAATTATATAAACTATTCTATTACACTTCACAGATTCTATATACACTTCAATTCTTAGTCATTCTCAATCATTATCTCAATCAATTATATAGACTATTCTGTTACATTTCACAGATTTCATGTACACTCAGATTCTCAGTCATTCTCAATTGCAGATTCTCAGTCATTCTCAATTATCAATTCTCAGTCATTCTCAATTACAGATTCTCAGTCATTCTTGATTACTGATCCTCAGCTGCTATAAATGTGTATATGTTCTTCCACTCTGAAGCTCCACCGCGTACACCATCACATACACATATAAATATTCACCTCAATTGCTGATTCTCATACTTTCTCTTTCTTTCCTTCTTCAGTGTTTTTATCATGTAAGAAGCCTACGCCGAATAGATCGGTATAATAGATAGGTCTTATATAACAAAGATAAAAACACTGAAGAAGGAAAGAAAGAGAAAGTGCGAGAATCAGTGATCAAGGTGGATATTTATATGTGTATGTGGTGGTGTACGCGGTGGAGCTTCGGGGCGGAAGAACATATACACATTCATAGCAGCCGAGGATCGGCAATCGAGAATGGCCGAGAATCTGCAATTGAGAATGGCCGAGAATCTGCAATCAAGAATGGCTGAGAATCTGAGTGTATGTGAAATCTGTGAAGTGTAATGAAATAGTCTATATAATTGATCGGGGTGGCAATTGAGAATGACCGAGGATCGGAGCGTATGTAGAATCTGTGGAGTGTAACGGAATAGTCTATATAATTGATCAGGCGCAGCCCGCCACATTAACAGTCTCATAATTTATAGACTACTGAGATAAAAGAGCTCAATCATTATCAGTACACTGCTGATAGAAGAGTTAATTAATTACAGAACTCTTAACATCTTCTCTTAGATTAGCTATTACAGAGTATAGTACTTTCTCTCAGTAACTCTCTTCAGTAATCTTCTCATAATAACTTCTTTTTAATAATAAACTGAATTACTCAGTTCTAGAGCTTAAAGAGACTTTTAAAGTACACTTCTAAGATATCTCTTAACACTGTTAAAATATTCAGAGTATTTATTAAAAATTTTTAAGTTTATTCTAAGATTGAACTTATACATGTTAATTACAGTGAGACTCATACTTAACAGTCTTATAATCTGTAGACTACTGAGATAAAAGAGCTTAATTATTATCAGTATACTACTAGTAGAAGAGCTGATTAACTGTGAGACTCTTAACATCTCTTCTCAGATCAGTTACTACAGAGTATAGTACTTTCTCTCAGTAACTTTCTTCAGTAATCTTCTTATAATAACTTCTTTTTAATAATGAACTGAATTACTTAGTTCTAGAGCTTATAAGACTTCTAAAACACACTTCTAGAATATCTCTTAATACTGTTAAAATGTTCAGAGTATTTATTAGAAATTTTTAAGTTTATTCTGAAATTGAACTTATATATATTAATTATAACAGAGTTCACACTTAACAGTCTTATAATCTGTAGACTACTGAGATAAAAGAGCTTAATTATTATCAGTACACTGCTAATAGAAAAGCTGATTAACTGCAGAACTCTTAACATCTTTTCTCAGATTAGCTATTACAGAGTATAATACTTTCTCTCAGTAACTCTCTTTAGTAATCTTCTCACAATGACTTCTTTTTAATAATGAACTCAGTTAGTTCTAGAGCTTATAGAACTTTTAGAGCACACTTCTAGAATATCTTTTAATACTGTTAAAATATTCAGAGTATTTATTAGAAATTTTTAAGTTCATTCTGAAATTGAACTTATATATGTTGATCACAGCAGGGCTCACACTCACCAGGCTTATAATCTGTAGACTACTGAGATAAAAGAGCTCAATCATCATCAGTGCACTGCTGATAGAAGGGCCGATCAACCGCGGAACTCTTAACACTTTTGTCATTCTGTCACAGCAGCTCTTTTTCATTTCATGACTTTAAAAGAAGAATCTTCTCTTGAGTTGAGTGACGCACGCTTTGATCATTTATCAATTGAGAATCTGCTCATCACATTCTATCAGCCACGAAAGCACTGTCAGAAATGCTGCTATTTAGTTATCAGATAATTTCTTATATTCATCTTACATTCTTACTTACTCTCATTCTGATAACACTGAAGAGCAACAGAAGTAATCAAATAAAATTAAATATGAAATTTATAGTCTCAGTGACTAGTCTAGTATCTTTCATATAAGTAACTTTCAGAGTTTTTAAACATTGAGTGAGTTGTGTATTAATATTAGTTATTTAATAATTCTGAGTGATTAATTCATTGACTTAATCTGTAAGAGCTTGAATTTATATAATTTAACTGAGTGTTATTTTTCTAACTGCAGAATACTATGTATAAAAATATAGAAAAAAAAATACTGCAGATCTGTAACTAATAGTAAGATGAGAAGATTCAGTAATATTACAGAATAAAGACTAACTTTATCAGAGTGAATAGCAGCAGTATACTAAATCATATTGAAACTGAATCTTAAAGAAGAAGAAGAAGAAGAAGCTTGGCTGAATGGTTAATGCGGCCACCCGGTAGTTAGCACCTTGGCGTGGGAAACCAAGGCGCGTGGGTTTCGAAACCCGCAGGGGATACATTAAATCCGGAACTCAAGCACCTCAGGTTTCTAATAAATACAGAGGTGTACAAATCGCTCCAATGAATTGCTCTATGTTCCTGGGCTGGGAAGTTATTATCACATGTATCTAATTGTCATTCCTTTGTATTTTCCTATGTTCTTGTTATCTTGGCGTGGTCTCAACACCTGTATTTCCTCCTGTATAACCAACACTTGACCTGTATTTAACATCACGCAAGGACTCATCATAAGCTCCGCTTGCATATGAGTATAATGGAAGAATAATAATAATAATAATAATAGAAGAAGAAGCTATCTAAGCTAGAGATGAGCGGGTGGATATGGGGTGGCGAGGCTTGTGTGGGTCACCTGACCATGCCCTATGCCCTTATACATGTGCTAGTGGGTAAATTTTTGGATTCCGTCTTCCACCCAAAGCTACTTAGTACAAATAATGATCTAGATTGCTAGGCCTACCGCTCATGCGTGAATCATGCCATTTGTACAACATTTTAAATAATAAAGCGAGTTTGCGCGTCTTTTCCGTCTTCCACCCAACTCTTTTCTTAAGGATGGAGTATGAGGTGGCGATCCTGGCGAGGAGAATGGCCCACATGCTGTTTTCCACTGTTCCTCTGAAGAGCGCAATCTCATAAAATGGAATTACATACAGTCACGGCCAGATGTCCCCACTTAACTTAGGCGAGCGATGATGTTACACACCGTAGATTAAGGCCTCTCATGAAGAAGCGCACGAATTAATGAACGACGCAAAGTGACCTATTTTTTGACATGGAGGGCTATAAATAGCCGGCCGTGGAAGATATTTAGCGCCAAAACTTTATCACCCAATGAGTCAGTTTGGTTCCTCAGTTTAGTTTCCACCACCCTTTATAAAAGGCGCCCAGCACCCGCTACCTCACGCACCTGTGTCGTCCCTGGATTTTGACGGAACGGTTGTCGAAATAAAAAATTAAAATTAAACAGGAGGGAAAAAAATCCCTTCAGAGATTCGCAGCCCTCGCCCGAAATGAACCACACTAAGTGCTTCAAGCCAATCCAAAAGGAGATCCCTCATAGGACATTTTACCGGTCGTTGTTTAATTAGCCTTAGGGACCCTCCCTAAGAAAAGAGCAAAACAAGCATCCAACGCCCTTTTTTTTTATGATATTACCCTTACTATTAAGCAAGGGCGCCTGGTTGTTGTTGCGTTGGTGTCCGAATCCCATCCCTCAAATACTCCACCCTCCGCCGTCGTTGTCGGTGTCTCCTCCACCACTTGAATACCTCCCATGGACCCCTACAATGCGCAGTCGCTTGTCGGGTCGTTTCCTGCTCCGACGGTGACGAGGGGGGGGGGGACGATGGTAATGAGTGTTCGCTGCGAAGAGGACTTGGCACGGTAAAGCCAAGCGAGGGAGAAAGGTGATACGGGGGTGGTGCAGTGAGACTTTGCGGCCGCTTCAGGTGGTAGAATGTCTGCCGACACAAGGGGCAGCTTGCATCGCGTTTTGATAACCAGGCGTCGATGCATGGCTTGTGGAAGATGTGGTGGCAGGGTAGTTCTCGAAATCGCATGTCGCGGTGGAGGGTCTCGAAGCAGAGGATACAGTCCGTTTCTTGATTCTGGCCTCTCTGTTCGCCTGCCGTTGGGATTTCCCAGTTAGTTAATTGTAGCTGGTGCTCGATATGCATGAACTGTCGGTGGTGGCGCTGGTGTATAGAAAACCTATGTACACGGTATACATACCCTTCGCAATGAAGGCACCAGATAAACACCGCATTTTGGCCTGGTCAAGCTCCTTGACAGAGAGCGTGCCGGAACTTAAGGGGAAGTATATGTAATGTGTAGTAGGCATCGCGATGTGCGTTTTCTCCCCTCCCAACAGATCGACAAAATTTGCAACAGCCCGCACCTGTTGCCTCGAGTAATGTGGCTATTTATGAAGAGCCCGCCCCGATGAATTTTACATGGAAAAATAGGTGTAGCTGGCTTCCTTATCCAACCATTGAGGATTTGTGGGACCACATCCGAAGTCAGCTTTAGAGAAACTGATGTGATTTTTCTCCGGTTATTTCCTTCTTCTTTTCCTCTTTTCTTTGTAGGCCACAGGTTCTTTGATATAACTTATCCTGCCCTCAAAGAGTTGTTTTTCATTCTTTGCCTGTTATGTTGGGTTGTTTCCCAACCCCATGACTATGACATCAAGTTCCAACAATTTGCCGGCCAAAACCTTGGTAGCCGTGTAGCCGGCAACAACGCAGCTTGGATTGGCGGAGCGCTGCGGGAGATCGAATGGTTCTCCCAGTCAGAAGAATAGTTGTGAGCATTTAGTTCATCGCATGTGCCATGGTCAGTTGGTCTGTTGGTCTGTTTTTGTCATTGTTTGATTTCCAGGGTTCCATGGCATTCGCTCCCGGGGGATCGGGCTTGCCGCTGATATCCCGGCTCTGTTCTTTTGCTTGCTATAAAATACCATCAACTGTGTATATTTTGTTTGCTTGATACATACCTAAACTTGGTTACCCCGTGTCATACCATTATCCAGTTCCCTATTGTGTTTCATGTCCTTCTTCCTTTTTAAAATCCTGTCATACCCCCTTGCTCACCGGAATAAGCTTTGGCGTTTCAATTCCCCAGTTTACTAGAAATGAAATTAGTTGGCGATAGAAGCGACTCAGCTAATCGCTAAAGAAGTACTTCGGGGATGTTTCTAAAGAAGCTACAAAGCTAAACCTCAGAAAAACGCACTTTGGAAGGTTGCACGAAATGGAAAACAAAACGAAAGCTAGAATGAAATAAAGGCCAATTGAAACAAAGGCGTAGTTGAAAGAAGAGAGCACTGATATAGTTGTATAACTATTGTTTTCAAGAACCGGCGATGAAAGATAGAAGTTTTGAAACAGAGCCAACAGATAGTATAGATCAGTCAAAAAATGAAAAGGAAAAGTATTTAACACAGCAGAGCTGGAATGCATTTTGACAGTAACCTTAAGTACATCATGCATCGTCATTGGGATCTATCCGAACACTGCTTCGACAGCCTAAAAAGAATTAATGATCATTTTGAGGTAGTAGAAGACTCCATGAATGCTTCGAGTCTATAATTTTGGGAAGTTAGCTCGATTGGGCGGAATTAGCCCTAACTCTTCATCCCTTTGATCATCCCAGGTTGGTTTCTCTTTCTCTCTTACATACCCCACCCTTCTACATTAATTTCTCCACTTGCTCCTCTGTCCAGTTTTCCGGATTTGCTTTATTGATCCAACTTGTTGTCAGTATAGTATGCCGTTCCTCAACACTCTGACTTAAACCATCTAGTTGGCTGCGTACTTTATTCCTTCTAGGTCTTGGGTATCGTCAGCGCAGGCATGACGAAGGCGGGTAGAGGTGAATTGAGGAAGACTAGGCTGCAAAAGCAAAGAGTTGTGACGGAATGATTGTAGATGAGTTGACTGTGTGCCATACCTGGCAGAAGTTCCCTCATCTCTGTTCCCTGAGTCCTCAACTCTGAAGAGTTATTTGAAAGATTCTATGCAAATGCCACCCAGTTTCTAAAATATCCCATAGCTTATTGCCAAAGCAGATGATTGGGAACCTTATTTGATCATAGAATCTGCAACTGAAGTTATATTGTAGTTTACTCCAGAAAGAAAAGCTTGAAAATTGTTTGTTGAATAGCTGTTTCTGGTATAGCCAGCTGTACACTGTGAAACCCACCCTGTACTAATTATTAACCTTGAGAGTACCATTGACTTGTCCACCATATTCTGCAATAACTTTCTCTGCAGCTGTCTGTGCCACAAGATAGGCCGTGGGCTGGCTATGGTTGCTATTTTTAAAGACCGTTATTAGGACTTGTGCTGATGAACGGGTAATGATAAAATAAGAATATAATACAAAAAGAAGAAAAAAATATAAGCATATAGAGAGAGGGAGGCCAGTTAACTCACTTTGGGGTCATTGGACAAACACTCAAATCCACTACTCGTAGCTTCTCAACGCCATACACGCGGAAGTCCTTGCCTGTACATGCAGTTGGGTCGTCCGATTTGCCCACTTTTACGGTTCCATTGGCATGGAAGACCGGCAGGAGGTTTTCATCGATGAATTCCTATATTTCAAACGTTTTTGTATGTTAGACACCGATACCTACCTTGATTTCCTCACATTTATTTGTATGAAAAGACAGGCAACGCCAGAGTGGGGGAAATAATTAATTGAAAGGCAATAGCAACAACATACATGGATATCTTCGTCTGACTGGCTCCGAAGAGCCAGGACGTACGCCTTGAATTCTTGCAGAATCGCGCCAGACTCGAAAAACTTCATAGTTTCTCTGATTGCCAGGGTCAGCATCTTTCGATCGAAAGGGTGGGACATGTAATTGGGGTCAATGACGGGATGATTAGTCGCGTTTGCCGATTTTAGCGTAACTTCGCCCTTGGACTGCATATTCATAAGGCAAACGACAATAGAGAGATACGACGTCCCCTCTGGTATAACGTATGTCGGGGGGAAATGGGGTCCCGCAAGAAAGGCTTCATAATGGGGCACGGAGTCCTTGGCCAAGTGTTCCTTTCAAAGAGCATCTAGGTTTTGATATTCGTTAGTTGTGAGAATGGAATTTTCCTTCAACCATCCGGTGATAGCGCAAGACTGGTGTAGGTTTGTCTCCCCAGTCCCGTCTCGTCTCCATTGCTCTCGTGTAGCTTCAACGGCAGCGGGGTTAGAGACAAATTTAACTCGATCACTGAGGCCTGCAGCGGGCGCATATGATGCTCCTATAACAACTAAGGGGTGATCGGATAGACCTTTGCCTACCCCAGGAAGATCGTGAAGTGTTTCAATATTGTGCTGGGTGAGCTCCTGAGTAGGCCCAACACCAGAGAGGAGCAAGATCTTCGGGGTATCGAATGCACCGGCAGATAGTATTACTTCCTGGTTCGCGGTGACTATTGGCGCACATTAGTTTTTCACTTCAAGGCGATGAGCAGAGGTGAAGAATTCCTGATCCACAGACATTTCCGCCCATCCACTGTTTCGACGCCAACTGCTACCTTGTTCTCAAAGATAACCTTGGCGATTTTAATGTCAGTTACCATCTTCAAATTCGCAGGACGATAGTTGGTATATATGGATTCGCTGGTCCAACGATAGCTTTTATAAGTTGTAGTAGGCGGGAGAGACATCCCGATAGGGTTTCCAGAGTTAGGGTCCGTGTTTAATGGCAGCTAGGTTAGAGAAGTTGGAAATGCATTATCATTGAATTGTATAGCAGGGTAAATCTCACGCCGTATCTTGCGGCTGCATCGAAAAGCTCCGACACCCCGGCTTCTAACTGAGCAGGCAAGCTCACATGCAACGGCCTTGGAGTTTATTAGATTCTCGCTCAGCGTAGGGACTTGTACTATATTTTACACGCACCCATCATATCCATGGTACTCTGGCAAAGGATTCGAATATTTCTTCATGTCCTCGGACAGGTCGGCATGAAAAGTTTCTATCTATGCCCAGAGCAAGTCGCGGGATTAGTTTTCGCACATGACAACCCCCAGAGCAACAGTTGCCAACCTCCTTAAATCTCCTGAGAGTATGTTCCCATTTCCAAGATTCATCACCGACGAGCTCAGCCCAGAAATTATAATCCTCCCCAGCGCCACGTAGGTAAGTCAAGAAGTTAACGTTGGAGCATCCTCCTGGGCCCTTGCCCCGGAGATAGGGGAGGACCTGTCCCTTGAGGGAGGTTTGGGGCGTCGTAAGATGCCCGAAATCTAGGTCAGGACGATACCAGGCATGGTACCTGTCATACTTGCAAAAATGCGAGTTATCAGGAAATGCACTGCCAGATTCCAGAACGACAACCGAGCTTTCTGGCAACGCCGCTGCCAGTCGCGTAGCAAAGAGAAGGCCAGCGGTCCCCCCTATCAAATAATTATTAGAGCCGTGATTTGTCAATCGATGAGAGAAAGCATACCCCCCCACAATAATAAAATCGTAGCTGTCCGTCATTGTCTCGATTTCTAGCCTTTTAAACGTCCACATATAATCTTCATAGACCAAGAGGTCGAGCAGACCTGGAGGGGTAGCATCCGCTTTATAGCATGGGATGGCGTATTTATAACTTTAATATAGGTAGGGATAAGAATAAACCAACGGGTGATATTCACCGAATGATGCAGCCAGCACAGGCCCGATTTGTAGCAACCTAAATGTCAGTTCTCCCCTTTTCCCTCCAAAGGTCAGCTCTCGAGCGTTTATTATTGGTGAGAAATGAAAGTGAATGCTAGAATGATATCCCACACTGAAGGAGATAATCTGCATAACATTAGTGCATACACTTGGTAATCATGAGCTAATCGTCGTGCGCTGCAACTGCGCAGGTTTAGATACCGAACTCTCAATTTTTAGCCCCTAGTATTTTCAGCTGCTTTGTTTGGTTCAATTGATACCGTCCCGAAAATTACCGCTCAAGTTGAATACGCAGCGTAAGTGAGGGGGGAGAGGTTGGTGGTTGTAGAAAGGAGGAGACTTGGATATAAAGTCGCCGCTTGGAGAGATTTTCACCCCAACTCCTACCACGTCCCGTGACGTTATTTGACAGAATGGACACACATGTGCGAGAATCCCAGAAGATCGGTAATAATTCCGCAGAACGTTGTCAGTTTTGAGGTAAAAATAAACCGGTTCGAACGCTTTGCCCATGGGTGTGATAAGCGGGATGCTGGGATGTCTTGCCAATCTCGCCGAGAGGAGGGGCAAAGGAATGCTTGCCCAGCTCATATCTTGCATCTTGGATAAGAAACATCTCCTGGACTCAGATACCAGCAGACCGCTTGTTGACTCCATTGATAAACAATGAGTGCTGTACATGTCTAGTACAGTAAAAACAGTTAGCTGGGTTGACGGTGTGTAACCACCACGCAGCTGAGATGGGGTAAAACCCGATAGCTGAGCCCTCATCTATCCAGGAGTGATATAGAGTTAAACTTCTCCATGAGTTAGCCCCAATAGTTAACTATCAGAAGCATACTATGGTAATCTGCTGAATTCCCCTGAACAGATTGCTGTGGTCGCAATGAAATACCTCTTCACATACGGACAAACACCTTCCTTAGGTTCTCTCGGGCCTCTGACTGAATTTCTGGCAGTCAACAGGTGTTCGACCAAGAAACAGCCTGTCAGTGGACGGGAATTTACCTAAGGTTGGCTGTGGGAGAGAAATCGAGTTCAATGAATTAAACTATTGTGGCGGACGTATTGCTTGGGAAAAAAGAATTTTCCCAGCCCCCCTGACAATTATTAGTAGCAAAACACCACAAAAAATTAAAATATCCACAGTTCTCTAGAATCATTCAATATCATCAAATTCATATATATCAATTGACTTGTTTTTTTTTTTTTTCTTGCAACACTGATCATTTTACTGCTTTACAAGCTTATAATAAAGACTTCTATTCTCTATCTCAGTATTTTCAAAGTATCTGTTTTAGAAGTTCTAAATAATAAAGAGAATTCACTCAATAATGAGATAAAGAAACAGATAAATAAGAAAAATACAAAGACTTAATCTGAGAATTTTCAATATTTGTAAATCTTTACATCTAAATTTAATATTCTATATAATTATTATCTTTATATAATTTCAATATCTGTATTATCTTCTATATAATCAATACTTAACCTGTATTTAATATTATATAAGAACTTGTTATAAGTTCTGCTTATATATAAGTATAATAAAATAATAATAATAGTAATAATAATTATAATTTAGAAGAATATACAGTTACTGAATAATAATATAACTACTTCTGAATTAAACTAGCTATATAACTGTGTCTGAGATCAGAATTAAACTTTATAATTATTATATTACTTAAAAGTATTTCTTCTAATTATAATTTATATTTATTATATTAATTTCAAATCACTTTAACTTAAATATTGAAAATTTCAGATTCACTTTTCAAGTAAAAATTTAATTTCAGATAAAGTGTGATGTTTACTCTTACTACTTCTCAGAGCTTTTACTTCTCTCTTCTTTTACTCTATTCTTATTTCTCTATCTGAAAGTATATTTACTTATTACTTCTTATAGCTTTTACTTCTTTCTGAGACTTCTGTCTTTTTCTTTCTAAGACTTTCACTTCTTACTTCTTTAAAGTCAATCACAATAAACAAACAAGTATGTATATATATTTATATAAAGACGCCTGTCTATCTTCATCTTGAAAGAATAAGATAAGATTTACCTTTTCACATGTATAATATATAATTGATAGACACTACAGATGATATATACTGCAATTTAATAATATATCTACTTAAGAACAAGATTTTCAGTTCTCTTAGATTCTGCTTCATCTTCAAAACTGTAATAATGATAATTAATCTGAGTTATAGATAACAAAGTTCAGTTAACTGATAATCAGTCTGATTAACTTCTCTATATTCTTTTCATCTTTAAGAAGACATATTACTGATGATTAATCTGAGTTATAAATAATAAAGTTCAGTTAACTGATAATTAATCTGATTAGCTTCTCTATCTTATTTTAACACTACAGCTGATAATCTGTTCAGTTTATAGTAAACTTACTCTATACACATTCATTACACACTGCAATGAAGCAGAAGAGATGAACTAATAAAAGTAACTCTTATCAGTTACTCTACTCTACTGAGCTGAACAAGTCTGCTAAGAAATGAGCCTTCTATAAACTCACTCAGAAATCTGACACTGAGTATACCTACTCACAGATAACAGTGAAGAAACATACTTGTGACAGACTGCGTCTGATTATAAGACTATTTCATTACACTTCATAGATTTCTGCTAAAAGTTCTAATTCTCAGTTACTAATTCTTAGCTGAAGAACTTACAGAGTTTCTATTCTTCTGCTCTGAAGCTTCTATTCTTCTGCTCTGAAGCTTCATCTCATACATGTATAAATATCCGCTTCAATCACTGATTCTTACACTTTCTCTTTTGTTTTCCTTCTCTAACATTTTTCACTTTTATTATATAAGATCTATATCTTAATATCAATCTATTCAGTGTAAGCCTCTTATAACACTGTCATGATTACAGAGATCTGATAGAACATAAATGAATAATATAATAGTATTAAGAATCAAGTCACACTGTACAACTATATTAAAATAGAGAGTACTCTTATAAGAGTATTCATCAGATATTATAATAATGTTAAGATAAGTCTTAACTCAGTTTCTATTATAAAATGAAAGAATATTATTAATTATTAACTACAGATCTTCTTGTAAGAATAAGTACTCACAGGCAATTATTCGGGTGTTTGCAGCTTGATGTAATATGTACTATTAACTACTAGAAGTATTTATGATAGAAAGATAAAATGTAGAAATTAAATGTATATTAACATTGAAGCTAAGTTATAAATAGTAGTCATAAACTCCAGTCTATATGATTGTGTGTAGTTAAGAATTACTAACTCTATTAATTATATAAAAGATAGAAATAGAGATAAAGAATCTGTAAGAAGTGAGATTTCTTACATACTTCTCTCTCTCTAAGACTTTATCTGTTAAGTCTTTCACTAAATAATTCTATAGAATCAGACTCAGCACTGCAGTGATACTTGCTAAAAATTCTTTATATCTATAAAAAACCTTAGTAAGGAAAAATCTCTTATTATTATAAAGAGAAAAGAGTCTGTCACTCAGTTTCTTATTTTATAAAATTCTTTATAATCTGCAGATCTTTCTCTGACTATTATATAGATTCATCTTACATCTTTTATATAGAAGAGTTCTGATTAACTCTTAATTGTTTTCATAAGATTCTTATATAATTATTACATAGATTCATTCTGTATCTTTCAATCTGAAGAGTTTCAGTTAATCTTCAATCATTTTTTCATAAGATTCTTATGTGACTGTTACACAGATTTATCTCATAGATGAATCACTTTCTGTGAGATCACTCTCATTAAAAAGAAGTATTTATAAGTTAATCTTTCACTCATTCTTGTAAATCATTATTCTTTAACACTGTAGAGTTGTAAGAAATTTTTCATTTCTTTATTAACTCTGTAAAATTGTAGAATCAAGATATCTACAGTCTGTAATTACTTTTTATAGTTATATAGAAAGATTTAGATCTGCAATTTATAATCACTTTTTATTTATTTAAGTAATCTGACTGTTCTATAAGATTACTTATAGTATAAATAAACCTCTCTAGAGTAGTATAAATATCTCAGATCTGTTGATAAAATCTTATCTTCTTTTCTCTTTTTCTATAACAGCTCTTATTTTTATAACTGTGAGTATTCTCATTTATCTGTAAAGTGTTTTCACTCAGATAATAGAGAGAGAGTATTTCTGACAATATCTGTATATTAATTCAAGAACTTCTTAAAAATAAAAAATTTTTAATTTTAATATCTTTATAAATAATATCTGACTACTGTTGAGCTTCTTATAAGTATTTTCACAACTTCTCTGATTACTTTTTACAGACTAATAAGACTGAGATATTATTATCTATAATAGTATCTTTATCTCTCTCAGCTCTATCACTATACTCAATCTTCAGATTAGTAGTTAATTCTGTATCTTTCTCAGACTAGCTTCTAACTCTTAGTAGTGCAGTTCTGTTCATTACTATAAGTCTTTTTATAAATAATTTCTTACAGACTCTAGCTGATGCTTTCTATAAAGCTCTCAGTACTATCAGTGTTTTCTATAACTCTGCAGATCTATAATTACTCTCTCTCTATCTATACAATCTCTGATCAGATATATGTAAATATATCTAGATTTTCTATCAATGATTCTCATATCACAGTACATTTCTACAATCTTATTATTAATAAGAGATAAGTCTCAGAGTATCTAGACTGACTTCTAAGATTATAAATTTCATGTTTGATCTCATTTAATCTAATCTCATACATTTCTTGATGTGAATTCCGCTGAGACTAGTTATTAAAAAAACATGTAAAGTGACTATATATCAGATCTTAAAATGAAATCATAACTTGAAAAAAATAAGAAAGTGATTTCATTTGATCTCATTTAGTCTCATTCTGAACATAAAGTTACTATTTTTAGACATTTTAAGGTTTTTTTTAGACTATTTTTAATTTTTTAAAAAGTAACACTTTTTTGATAATACTCAAATGAGATTTAAAGTCATTTAAAGCAATAAAAATAATTTAAATTGAGAAGTGAAAATCATGATCTCATTTGAAAATGTAATAAGAGTAGACAGTAAGTCTTACTGAAATAGTATGAGACTACTATCTAATGTTAAAACTGTGTAATGAAATCAGTTGAATTGATAATAAGACTATCAAAAAATCTGATTCTGGCCTCAGATACGGTCACACGGTCAGTCTATAAGTATCTGTAAAATTCAAATAATTAAGACAATGCAAATGCTATGAATTCATGATATGTAAGAAATTCCGCTTCTCACGGATTCTTTACCTCTATTTCTATCTCTCGCGTAATCAATAGGGCTAGTGACTCTTGGCTACATACAAGTGACACAACTATATAGACTGGAGTTCATGAATACTATTCATAACTCAGCTTGAATACTATTATATATTTAATCTCTACATTTTATCTTTCTACTGTGAATACTTCTAGTAGTTAACAGTATATATTATGTCAAGCTGCAAACATCTGAATAATCATCTGTGAGCACTTATTCTTACATTTCAAGCTCAGTCAGTCAGCAACTGCTTATTATAATTGAAAGAACTAGAAACTTATATACTTCAATCTTTATGAACTCTACTGCAGACACTCAGA